TAGGGGAGACCGGGGATAGTAGACTCATTTTTTAGTTTCGAATTTTTATAGACGAAATTAAGAGACTTATCGAAAAAATGAATTCTACGCCAGTTACTACATACATTTGACTATCTAATAATATTTTAATAATAAGGGAAAACTGATAATTACTATGAAAAAAAATGCATTTTTCTAATGCATTCCATCTGATTTAACTAGCCCCGGGACCGGGGTAAAATGACTGATGGTATGGGGTAATTTGATTAACATTATTAAAATGAAGATTAATAAATATTTTAAGGTACATCTTTGGCTACATAATAACAAAAATTTTATAAAAATGTATTTTAAACACAAACATATTTATTATAAAAAATGTATAACTTTGTACTAAATGACAATTTATCTAATCCGAATCGTTATCCGAATTACAGTTATAACAAACATAATACGATAAGTTACCCTTTATGCATTTAGAGTATCCACACGCATGTTCACAAAATTATACTTTTAATTATTCTTAATATTTTCACATTATTATTATTACTTCTATTACACTTAAAAATAATTTTACAAAAGAAAGAAGGATGTATGAACATATATGGATATGTTTCATATATAATTATATATGTTTATGAATATTTATACATGTTTATGTATAAATGTTCATAAACGTATATAATTTATCATATTATATATGTTTATACATATTTATACATATGCATGAAAAATTTCTTATACATGTAATTTAACTATTATTACTGGTAAAAAAAGTTGATAGAGAATGATTGAGAACGATAAGATTTCTATCAATTTGTATCGAGATTTCATTTCAAGAAGTTTGGGAGTAGATACTATCAGAGTCGTCACTAAATTAATCATATAGCCTCGTATTGTGGTTAGCCTATTAGCCCCATCCGTTCATTTTTTAAAAACATTAACAGTATACGACAACAAAACCAGATAAACAAAAAAAATCTGTTGGACTTTATTAAGTAAGAACTATGCTTACTACCTAAATGGAAATAAAATATCTCAGACAATTATATACAATTGTAAAACAAAAACTTTAAGAATAAAAATGTTTACTTAGGTGTACGATTTTTTTAAATTGTAGCGTAACTTCTATCATAGATGTGTTAGGAACGAGATGTTACAGCAGACTGAGCGGCAGTCGCTGCTGCGTGCTCAGACGAGTTTACGCGTGTCTGGCGCGATTTGTTTATAACGTAGCCTCGATTATTTTACTTACCCCTATAGTTTACTGACCCCGGTCTCCCCTATAGGCCGCGGCCTAAATGCGCGGTGTAAACATAGTCTATGTCTTTAGTTTTTACCTACAATTCGCACAAGGCTCGAGACCGTATACTGTGACATGAGTCTTGTTAACTCACATTAAAAGTATAAGATTATGTTGTTATGCGATAACTTTGTCACCAAAGTAAGCAAGTAATGACGTCGTTATTTGAGTATAAAGTACAAAACTTTAGTTTCAGTATTACTTGTGTGAAAAATGGAAAACAACTATTATTTTACTGTGATATTTA